GCTGGCTGCTTGGGCAGAGACCCGGGGCCACCCGGGGGTGAGAGAAAGGCATTCTGCCCATGCTCAGAGAGCCAGTCCCACAACCAGGGGCTGGAGTGAGCCAGCAGGACTGCCGTCTGAGCTCCCGCGTGCCCGTCCCGCCGTGGCAGAGACCCTGGCAGTGGGGGAAAGGCCGCCCTGCTTGCCTGCCCGCACTGGCAGACGGACGCCTGCTCTCTGGCCTGGGCCTCGGCTGAGAGGGGGGCCAGTTCTGGAAGGCTCCCCCCCCCCGCAGAACGGTCCGTCATCCTCCAGAGCCATCGGGAGGCCCAGCGCTGGATCACCCCCCCCGTGGCTGCCCGGGAAGACCCACCTGCAGGGAGTAGCTTTTGTTGTACAGGTTTTCGATGGGGATGTCCTTCCCGTTCTCCGTGCAGTTGCTGTAGGGCTTGCTGAGGCGGGTGGACTTGGTCTGCAAGAGGGGGAGAGAGGAGGGGGCGGTTGGCGGAGGGGCACACGGGCACACACACAGCTCTCGCCCAGCCCTGCTGCCCCCCCCGGGGCTGGACAGGGGCCCAGGGCCCAGACGGTCTCTGAGGGCCAAACACAGATCTTTCGTTCACCCCTGACTTCGTGGCACAAAAGATGCAAGGAGGGGAAAGGGGGTTGAATCTTACCACCCCACAAGACTTCCCTCACTGACCCCTGCCCGCTGGGGTCTGAATCAGGGCCCCCCAATCTGTGTGCCTGACGTCCAACTCCTTACGATCAGTGTTCTCTCTGAGGTTTGGGGGTTTTTTTTGGTGTTCCCTCTGAGTCAGTGGGAGCAAGCTCAGTTTTTTTAGGCTCTGGCTCACATATCTTTGTCTCGGCTCAGGAAGGACGCCTCCAAAGGAAACTGATTTATGTAGCAGCCAAATTGCTGGCTCACCACTTTAATGCCAGGAGCTCACAAAGTAGAATTTGGCTCACAAGTCTCCACAGCTTAGAGGGAGCATTGCTGATGGTCTTCCGTGGGGTCTTACAGCAGCCTGTAGAGACTGGGTGGGCTTGGGCCCCTCTCAGGGGCGGGGGGGGGACAGACTCCCTGCCTGTGTATATCAAGAATGCCAGCCAATGGCTGTAGGGGGCACTCTAATCTCCTCTCTCGGAAAGCTACCTGGACCCACAGGTGTAGTTAAACAGCACCCATGGCAAAAAGGGCCCAAGGAAAGAGAGGAGGAGAATTCCGCAGGAGAACTCCTGCTCACTGCCCCAGTCCAGTGAAGACCGTCTCCATCAGAGCTCCGTGGAAACAGCAGGAAACCCGGAGCGAAGACAGGGAGAGAGATGGGCGAGCCAAGGAGGGAGACGGCCCTCCCAAAAGCCCCTCCCTCAAGTCCGGGGGGGGGGGGAACAAGGGACCACAAAACGGTTGCAACAACCTCATCCACGTAACACAAAACTCCTTTGGAAAAATTTGATAAAACAGGCCAGCCAGGGGCCTGGCGCCTCGTACATAAGAACTCATACAGGGAGGAATATTCCCCAACTCACTGTGCCCTGTGTGAAACTTAAGCTACAAAAGGAGGACAGGCTCTAAAAAATCCGTGGTTTGTGTCTTTTGTAACATGTTTCAGGCAATGCCTCCCTCTAAGCTGTGGAGTCTCGTGAGCAAAAACTCTACTTGGTGAGCTACGGGCATTAAAGTTGTGAGCCAGCCATTTGGCTATAAATTAGCTTGCTCGGGAGCCCCGTCCTTCCTGAGCAGAGACAAAAACGTGTGAGCTGGAGGCTAAAAAACTGTGAGCTGGCTCACACTAACTCAGCTTAGAGGGAACACTGGTATCCAGGTCTTGTCTTCAGGCCAGCTCTGAAAAGGGTTCGGTCCTATCTGAGTGGCCTCCACAGAAGCAACTTCAGGAAAAACCCTGAAGCCACCTGGGCGCCAAGAACCTCTCTCATTCCCCCTCGATTACAAGCTCTCCAGTTCTAACCGGTGCGTGGCAGGAAGCTCTGGCTGACAGGGGATGTTGCTCCAAAGGAGAAAGGCGTCCCCAGGAACAGGCAAGCACCCAGCTTCAGCTTGGCACGGACTGGGCAGGGCCCTCCCTGGACTGGGCACCACACCCCTCTTTCCAAAGGCAGAGAAGGAAACACCAGCCGCATAGGAAGGGAAGGGAATCTTTTGTGAGTCTCTCTCTGTGTGTGTGTGTATGTGTCTCTGCTGCTGCTGATTTGTCTGTGAGTTCACCCGGCCTTTCTGCCGCCGGTGCCGAAGGCGTGTGAGCAAAACACGCCCCGTTTCTTGGTCAAAAGTAAACGTAGAGGTTATCATCATTTTGTCCCACGAAACGAAGAGAAAAGAAACCCCTCCCCCTTCCCGCTGACCACGGAGGCAAGCGGGAAACAAAACTGCTGCGGCGGGGGGGGGGGGGGGGGGGAGAGGGGAGGCGCAGCCACGCCCCTTTGCGTATACCCCCCCACACCGTGTGCACCTAGGTCCCGTGTTCCCTCTAAGCCGAGTCAGGGTGAGCTAGCTCACAGTTCTTCAGCCTTTGCCGGCTCACGCATTTTAGTCTCAGCTCAGGAAGGATGGGGCTCCAGAGCAAACTGATTTATGCAGCAGCCCAATCTCTCGCTCACCACTTTAATGCCAGGAGCTCACAAAGTGGAATTTTTGCTCACGAGACTCCACAGCTCAGAGGGAGCGTTGCCTAGGTCCCGTACAGCCGCGCCCCCCCCCCCTTTCAGTAACATTTTGAGCTGCAAGGGAATTGGGGGTTTCGTTGGATGTTAAGCTCTGTTCGCCACTTTGGGAATCTTTTTTTTTTTTTTTGCTGAGAAGAGGGCTGGGAACACTGTCGAATGAAGCCAACTGAGGACAGAGCAAAGGAGTCAGAGAAAGAACAGGGAGTGAGAAGCATAGCCAGGCCCCCCTCCCCGGAAAAGTTCACAGAAAACGCTCCACATCATCACGCTCCTTCACCTCAAAGCACTTTCTCCTGAGAAGGATGAGTGGGGGGTGGGTGGGCGTCTGGGAGACCAACAGTTTTGTTCCGGGTCTCAGCTTTCGCTTCGGTCTTCAAGGTGCCACGAGGGAACACAGGTGTCAGACCCAGTGTTCCCTCTAAGCTGAGTGAGTGTGAGCCAGCAAACAGTTTTTTTAGCCTCCGGCTCACAGACTTTTGTCCTAGCTCAGGAAGGATGGGGCTCCAGAGCAAACCCATTTCTGCAGTATCTAAATCGCTCGCTCACCACTTTAATGCCGGCAGCTCACAAAGCAGAATTTTTGCTCACAGGACCCCACAGCTTAGCGGGAGCATTGGTCAGACACCCCCCCCCCCCGGTGCCCCCCCGCATCTACCCTGCCTCCACGGGGAGATCCAGTCTGGGAACACAAGCGGCTCTTGGCCAGGGCTGGCACAACGCCCACAGCACAGGGGTGCATCCCAAACTGGAGAGGCTGGACAGCAAGAAGGGGTCTGCCCAGCGGGCAGCACAACCCGTATAGCCCAGCCGCGGCACACAGTGACACAGTGTCCTTCCAGGGGGGTACAGGAAGGGCCCTTTGGAGGCCTGAGGCACAGGCGGACGCACCCTCTCCCTGGGCAATCCTATCTGGACCACCGTTTCTGGGAAGGGAGAAGGACCGACAGATAACGTGTCTCTTTCCATCAAGGAAGCCCCTGAGCTGGCAGGCGGCCAGGGATTCTCCACCCAGGCCTGCTGGATGCTTCCCCAGCCCAGCCAAGCCAGCGCTTTTCCTGGGGTCTTAGCTCAGCTCCCCTAGACATCTGCTCCCACTGCAAACGTAGGAGGGCCTGCGGGGCTCCACAGAGCCAAGACGGGCGGCTGCGTTAGTCCGTCTGTAGCAGCAGAAAAGCACAAGGGTCCAGGAGCACCTGAAAGACTCACAGAATGTGTGGCAGGGGAGGCGCTTTCGGAAGACATGGCTCACTTCTTCAGATATTCCGGTGTATCTGTGTTCCCCCCTAACTCCCTTCCCTGTAAATGTGGGGCCTTTGGGCAAAGAGCCGGGAACAGTCCCCTCTAAGCTGAGTGAGTGTGAGCTAGCTCACAGTTTTTTAGCCTCTGCCTCACTCATTTTTGCCTTAGCTCAGGAAGGACGGGGCTCCAGAGCAAACTAATCGATGCAGCAGCCAAATCGCTGGCTCCCAACTTTAATGCCAGCAGCCCACAAAGTAGAATCTTTGCTCACAGGACTCCGCAGCGGAGAGGGAGGCATTGGTCCAGACCTGTTTGGATACGCTGCCCCGGCCTCTGTGGGGCGAGAGATGTTTTCCCAACAGGCCGCTTGCCAGGGCCTCCCACCCCCAAGGCAGGGAGTGCTCTCTGCCTGCCTGCGCACCGCCACTCACAAAGTGCATCCCAATGGAGGTGGCCGTGGCCGTCTCGATCTCGGTGCCGATGTCCTCGATGAAGGGGTACTCGTCCTGGTCGTGGACCACGATCTTGGCCCCTGTGGACGTCACCAGGAAGGGGTTGTAGTCGGCTTCCTCGATGTACAGGATCACCTGCAGTCCTGAGCGGAGGGAGGGAGGGAGGGAGGGGTGCTGGGACCGCCGATCTAAAAGGCACTAGAGCCACCAGCGCCAGGGGCCCGGCCTGCCTCTTGACCAGAGGAGGCCCCCTCAGCTGGAAGCGGGGCTGATCTCCAAAGAGAGCCAAAGTTTGGCGCAGGTGGTTAAGTGCGCGGACTCTAATCTGGGAGAACTGGGTTTGAGTCCCCACTCCTCCTCCACTTGCACCTGGCTGGATGACCTTAGGCAAGCCGTAGTTCTGATAAGAGCCCTTCTGGATGGCCTTGGGCAAGCCGTAGCTCTGATAAGAGCCATTCTTGAAAAAAGAGCAGTTTCTGTCAAGAGCTCTCTCGGCCCCACCCGCCTCACAGGGTGTCTGTCTGTTGTGGGGAGGGGAAGGGAAAGGAGATTGTCAGCCGCTCTGAGACTCCTTTGGGTAGTGAAGGGCCATGGGGTATAGATCCAATCTCTTCTTCTCTTCTTCCTCTTCAAAGGAAAACGTGCAGCTGCCCTTTGCACAGCAAAAGAGACTTTTGAACACCATCAGCAGAATGAAGTGTTGGAATAGAGAAGGCCCAGGCCCTCGGCCTCCAAAGGGTGTGGGGGTGGCCACAAAGTTATTGAGAGAGACGGGCAGGCCGTGGGTTCTCTTCCTGTTTACTCTCCTGCTCCTGACCTTTGACCTAGACTGACAGGTTACAGGGGAAATGGTGCCTCCTCCCTCTCACACTCTCTCTTCTCTCGCACACATCCAACACTGGAGGTTGGATGCCCCTCTGCATCCGGACCCATCCACAGTAGCTTAGATTAGTTCTGCCCCTATCTCTTAAGCTTCACTATCTACAACGTAGTTCCTAAGTAAAAGGACTATTATTAGTCTTGAAACTGAAAAGTGGTTCTGTGTAACTCTGTAACTCTGCTATCACACTGGGAACAAAGGGCTTCTACTGTGCATAGCCAAAGTGCGCTCTGGTAAGTTTCAGATGGGACAATGGACTAAAGAAGAAGAAGAAGAGACTGGATTTATATCCCGCCCTTCACTTGGGAGTCTCAAAGCAGCTTACAAACTCCTTTCCCTTCCCCTCCCCACAACAGACACCCTTGTGAGGTCGGTGGGGCTGAGAGAACTCTGACACAAACTGCCCTTGACAGAAATAGCTCTGAAAGTATTTGTGACTGACCCAAGGTTACACCAGCAGCTGCACGTGGAGGAGGGGGGAATCAAACCCAGATTAGAGTCCGCCACTTTTAACGACTACACCAAACTGGCTAGTTACTCCCGACACAAAGAAACCGAATTAAAATCCCGACCGAGAAGCCACGCAGCGAATTTCAGCCCCCCCCCCCAAGGCAAAGCCCTTGGAAAAGCCCGGATGTTCCTCGGTGGCGGGATCAGATTGGGGAAAGGGGGCTGCCGGAAGCACGATCCTGCCGTTGACTCTCACAGGCTGCCAGCTCATTGGCTTGTGCAATGCCTGGCACGTGCCGGCACCATTACTGGCCTGGCTTCTCCTCCTCGTGGAAATCCACGGGCCCACGTTGCTGCCCGTCCCACAAACGGCGTGTGGGCGGCCATGGGACCCTGCCCTGCTTTCCTCTCCTCCTTGCAGTCTCAGCTCCCTCCTCGCCCCTCCCCACTGCCTGATCATGTCAAGGAATGGGGGGGGGGGACCACTACACCAAACTGGGAAGGTAAAGGTAAAGGTCTCCCTTGCTCGAAAGCCAGTCGAATCCGACTCTAGGGTCGTGGTGCTCATCTCCATTTCAAAGCCGAAGAGCCAGCGCTGTCCGAAGACGTTTCCGTGGTCGTGTGGCCGGCAGGACTCAACACTAAGGCGCACGGAACGCTGCTCCCTTCCCACCGAAGTGGTACCTGTTTCTCTACTTGCAATTTCTTGCTTTCGAACTGCTAGGTTGGCAGGAGCTGGAACTAGAGACGGGAGCTCACTCCGTCATGAGGCACACTCGGGTCTCGAACTGCCGACCTTCTGGAAGGCTAATCAAATTGGGGCTGCCAACCTCCAGGTAGGGTCTGGAGATCTCCTAGAATTACAACACTACAGAGGCCAATTCCCGTGGAGGAGATGGCTGTTTTTTTGGGGGGGGTGTACTTTTTGACAGTATACCCTTGCTGAAATCCCGCTCCTCCCCAAACTCCAACCCCTGATTCTCCAGGAATTCCGCAACCTGGAGTTGGCAGCCTAGAACCACTGGATGGACTTGTGGCACCGGACCGTGCTGCAGCCCACAGAAAAGGCATTGCTCTAAAGGAGGCTGCAAAGCATCTCTGCGTGGGAAACACACACCCACGAGGACCCGCCCCTTCCTGAACCTGGGAAGGGCTGCTGGTGCTCATGGGAACACGAGAGAAGCCAATGCTGGATCAGGCCCATCCAGGCCCATCCACCGCCAATGGCCCATCCAGTCCAACACTCTTCTGCGTCATACGGGGGCCAGAAACGCCAGGCTCAGCTTCCCAGGTCAGATTCCACGTCTCCGGCGAAGAGCCCCCGCGGCCTGCTTGCCTGCCTTCCCGCCCGGCCCCCTTACCGTACTCGCTGCCTCCCGTCGATGTGCTCAGGATCCGACCGCCCTTCCCACTGTTGAAGGTGTAGCAGTTCCCGTGCAGCGGGTGGTGGAAGGAGCTGAAGTTCCTAACGGGGACCAAGCAGGGGCCACGTCACTGCCCGCTTCCCTCGCTCAGAAGCCACGTCCCACCTGGATCCACAGGGAGCTGGGTCCCGGGACTGCGGCCATAAGGCGCTCGAGGGGGGAGGGGAAGGTGGGGCCTGTTCAGCAGTGCCCGGCCCCGGCTGGCAGAGGACAGGGTCACGCTCAAGGGGTTCAGCGGGGTTCATTTATCTATTTATTCGATTTTCACCCCCGCCCTCCCGGCCGAGGCAGCCTCAGGGCGGCTTAGATAAGAAAGCAATAGACAAAACAACGGTATAAACATCAATATGAAATACGCAACATAACTATTTATTTACTTTATTGTATTTCTACCCCGCCCTCCCTGCGAACGGGCTCAGGGTGGCTGCCTGCACCAACTGCTCCTGCCTCCTGTAGTTATTAAAACTACAGAATCATAGAATGTCAGAGTTGGAAGGGACCCTTCCAGCCCCCTGCACTAGCCGAAAGATAGCCCTACAACATCCCCAAAAGAGGGTCGTCCAGCCTCTGCTTGAAAACGTCCAGCGAAGGAGCCTCCACCCCCTCCCGAGGCAGTCTGCTCCACTGCTCAACCACTCTTACCGTTAGGAAGTTCCTCCTGATATTTAGCCAGTAACGACTCCCTTGTAATTCCCACCCACTAGATCTAATCTTTGCAATCCGGAGCAGGAGAGATCTGCTCCATCTTCTACATGACAGCCCTTCAGAAACTTGAAGACTGCAATCGTGTCCCCTCTAAGCTCACACTCACTCAAGCTTAGAGGGAACACTGTTCTGGGGAGCCCTCCTTCCCTGAGCTAAGACAGAAAATGTGTGAGCCGGAGGCTAAAAAGCAGTGAGCCAGCTCACACTCACTCAGCTCAGAGGGAACACTGTTCTGGGGAGCCAACCCGCCTCCCAGCCCCTGTCCTCTGCGGCCCCCCCGGGGGGGGGGGAATCACTGACCGGGCATCGCACGACATGCCGTCGAAGGAGCAGCTGAGAATCATCTCTTCCGCCGAGTAGCTCATCCGCACTTTCTCCTCTGCGTCGATCTGGGCCATGATGTTCATGTAGTGCAGCTTGTACCACTCCTGGATGGCGTTCACCCCAGAGCTGAAGGTGTACAGGGCGCAGCTGCCGTTGTCGCTGGAGTCACACTGGGGGGGAGGAGGAGAAGGAAGGGCGGACTCAGGCGGGCAGCAGCGGAGGAGGCCCCCCGTTGGGTAGCGACCCGCTTGCACCTCTTCCCCAGGGCAATACGCCCTCCCCCCCCAGTCACTACCCCTTAAAGCAGCTGGGGTGGAACAGCAGAGGGGCAAAGCGTTTGCTCCTAGCTCCCCCCCCCCAACACCACCTCCACCGTCCACTGACTCATGCCCTAGGGCAGGGGTGTCGAACTCATTGGTTATGAGGGCCAGGTCTGCCATAAACGAGACTTTGCTGGGCCGAGCCACGTGTGTCATAAAATGTAGTGTCAGGTAGCGGAGATGTAAACTTTATAAAGGGCACAAACACAAAGGGTGGGGGGTTTTTTAACTTAAAAATAAGCGTAAAACATTGGCAGTCTTGCAATGTTTTCTTTAACCGTGTCTGATAACTGACACCCCTTGCTCTGAATTATTGCATCAAAATGTTGAGCACACTGCTTAGGTGTGCATCTGTAAGCGGCAAACCTACGATGACGCAGCAGAAGGCAGCCGGTTCCACTGCGGGCCTGAAAGAAGCCCTCCGCGGGGCCTCATCCGCCCCCCCCAGGCCACATGTCTGACACCCCTGCTCTAGGGGATCGAGCCAGGGCCCCCTTGACCTGCAGGCCTCCCCCCCCCCAGTCCTGACACTCTGGCAGACTCACCAGCTGAAAGCCCACGACGTCTTTGGGGTTCTTCACCATGGTCGAGCCCTCCGGGCTCACCACCGTGCTGGCAACCCGCCGCCGGTGACCCGTGGCCAAGTCCACGCCCGTCCTGCTCCGGAGGCTGTCCATCTTCATCAGAGGGAAGCGCTTGAGGAAGGCGCTCTTCCTGGGGGGCTGGGGGTCTGCCTCCCGCCGGGCCCGGAGCGAGGAGGGGCTGCCCGAGAAGTTGTAGAGGGACTCCAGGGCGACCATGGTCTGCTTGTCCAGCTCCTCCAGGTGGCCTTTTATGGCGCTGTACCTGCCGGGAGGAGGGAGGCAGAGGCTCTGCGGGGCATGCCAGGGCGGGGGGCACGCCTTGGCGCACAGCTCTTGCACTAGACTCGGCACCAGAGCTCACAGACGCGGGGGGAGGGGGGAAAATCTGTAAAAGTTCAGACATGCAAACTGGAAGATTCTGGATATGACCCAAAATCCCGGGCAAAGTAGCCCTCTGAGCACTGTGACTGCCCAAAGGAACCAGAGGAATGGGGGCGGGGCGAAGGAGGCAAGGCCTCTCTTGGTAGCAGGGTGAAGGGGGCGGGGGACGGCCCAAGCCCTTCCAGCTAGCAAAGACGGGAAGGAGAGGAGGCTTTTTTGGGGGGGGGGGGAAGAAGAAGAGGAGGAGGAGGAGGGAGATTGGATTTATACCCCATGGCCCTTCACGACCCAAAGGAGTCTCAGAGGGGCTGACAAACTCCTTCCCCTCCCCACCACAGACACCCTGTGAGGGAGGTGGGGCTGAGAGAACTCTTGAGAGAAACTGCTCTTTTTTTCAAGAACAGCTTGCCCAAGGTGTTTATGATTTTATTGGATTTTATTGGTTTTATGTATGGGCTTATGCCCCTGTAAGCCGCCCTGAGCCCGCTTGCGGGGAGGGCGGGGTAAAAATACTCAAATAAATAAATATAAAAAGGTCCTCCAGCAGCTGCGAGTGGAGGAGTGGGGAATCAAACCCGGTTCTCCCAGATTACAGTCCGCCTGCACTTAACCACGACACCAAACTGGGACACAAAGTGCGGGGCTGGATCTCTCTGGCCAAAGCGGACAGCCGGGCAATCTCTGCTCCTTCTCCCAAACTTCCACCTCACCCCAAGCCTCCCGCGTCATCCGTCTGTTCACCTCTGACTTCCCTTTCAGCCCCCCCCCCCCCCCGTGCTGGGAGAAGGGTTTGGCGCATCCCCCAAAGCTTGCTGCCACCAAGGTTTCGGCCTCGAGATGGTCCAACAGCAGGTGGGGCGGGATGGCTAAGGGGGAGACAAGCCAGGGAGGCCCAGGTGCAAATCTCGCCTTCGCCATGAATTCTGGGAGAAGCCATTTCTCGGATTTATTTCAAGACCTATACCCTGTGCCAAACAGGTTTCGTGGAGAGACTAAGAAAACGTTACTCAATTCTTGTTTAGCTATTTGGACTACTCTCCTAAAAGGGTTGCTTCCTCTTTTCTGTTTTGTCCTCCCAACAGCCTTGTGAGGTGGGATAGGCTGAGTGAGAAGTGACCAGCCCCAGCCCAATCCAGCAAACTTCCACGGCACAGTGAGAATTCAAACCCGGGTCCGGCACTCTGAGCACTGCGGGCTCTCTCTGCCAACACTCACAAAACGATGTAACTTAGAAAGGAAGAAGGAACAGAAGAAAGTTGCAGAAAAAATACGAAAGGTGTCAGGTCTCCTCTGATGAAACCTTGAGTGAAATGGTCTACTGAGCGCCCTACCGTCAGAAAAACCTGAGACCAATTTACGTCAAAGGAAACACCTTTAATGATTTGTTATTCACTGGATGATTAAAGAAGATCTATTTTCCCCTAACAAGATTTTGTTATCACGGTTGTTTTTCCTTACTAAGTTCAACACTCACAAAAACGGCAGCAGCCTCAAAACCACTCAGCCAGGGAGTAACAAGAAGAATCGATCAGAACCGATCCGTTTCGCAGGCCGGCCAGCCAGGAAGAACACTGGCCAACCCCGCAGGGTTGTTGTAGAGAGTACGAATTCTGAGCGCCACAGCTGTCCTGGCAAGTCTACCCCATTTCCCAGCACTGCCCTCCCAGGAAACACCTAGGGAGCCCCATGTTCCCGTCTAAAACCCTCCCTGCCAAATCCACAGACTTGCAGAGCGGCTAGCCCAGCAGCACCAGCTCAGGGGGCGGCCCTGGGGGGTTGTCCTTCCCAACCGGGAGGAGACGGGAGGGGGGGGGGGGGGCTTACTTGTAGGGGTTGATGTTGCAGATGGTGACGGCGGGGAAGGGGAGCTTGTGGAACTGGACGGTGACGGAGACGGAGGCCATGTAGTAGTTGAGGATGAGCTGGGCGCAGTACCAGAGGATGAGGCCGACGGCCGTGAGGGTGAGCAGGATCCAGAGGGCGCGGCGGAGGCGGCCGCGGGAGACGACGATGCGCCGGCAGCCGTGGGTGTTGGTGTTCATGCAGTACCAGCGCATCAGCTCGCGCAGGGTGGGCGCCTGCGGGCCCCGCACCGGCAGCGTCCGCTTCAGCTTCGCCTTGATCTTCTCCGACGGGGCCAGCCCGACGACGCCCTCCGACGCCGATGCCGCCGCCGCCGCTGCCGGGGAGGGACGGAGAGGTCAGGCGCCGCGATCGCTCGCTCCCCAAAGGAGGCGAAAGAGCCCTGCGCGCCGTCTTCGTCGGCCCGGAAGCCCCCCCCCCCCCCGCCGCCGCCCCCCCCCTGCAACCGCGCCCGCGGAT